TTGACGAGGCTCACTTCACCAGTAGGACTCCTCTTATACCTCCCATTACGGCCAGCAAGAAGGTACTATGGGCGTATCTTGTGTGCTCCTCGAGATGATAGAGATGTCGCATCTACTCATATTCTTCCCGAGAGTCGGTGTACTGGGTGACGGGTCCAGTAGTGTATATATACTTTTCTTGACGCGTCCAGTATACCATTGACTCCCTGGCTCGGCAACGATTGACTCTGATTTGTCAATATCTACTGGTTGGAAAAAATTATACCAGGATCCTCACTATTTTAATCTTCCGCTGATTGTTATTTCCGTGGTTACTCTCCTCCGATTTGCTCCCCCCTCTCTTCAGCTCTCATCCTCATTGGTACGGTTGCCCATCAGCAAGCGGTCGAGTCAGAAGTGCACCCACAAGAAGAGAAGAGCCGCATCCTCCCAGCGAAGTATTTGAAAGTCACAGGTTGTAGTTGTAGCTCTTCCCACTAGGTATTGACTACGTCACCTTTGCTACAGCTTCTGGACGCAGTATTCCAGTAGTCAGCCGATATACGAACGTGAAGGTCATCGGTACTGGCAGTTATGGCACTGTACTATCAGCCAAAGATGCTGTAGCAGAGGCCACGGGGATAGGACCCATGGAAGTCGCTGTGAAGTGAACTTGTGAACTTTTGGTGGTTTTTCTATCAGAAACTACCTTCAGGCACACTGTTCTAGTCGAGGACAAATTGAATGTCGAGGACTGGCCGGATATCGTTAGAATGTATCACAAGTTCATCGACGCAGTGCCGGAATCGATTTCATCGCTTTCAGAATTAGGGAAGTAGAGTTACTCCGTGACTTCCACCACGAAAATATCCTGTCGATCAGCGACATGTAAGTGCATGTTCTGTGTTGGAACTTTTCCATGCAGCCTGATAGATTCCCTCAACCCAGCGGTTACGCCATGACCAGCATTGGTATCGTCACGCCGATGTACAAAGGAGGCACACTGGCGACGTAGGTTTCTGGGCGATGCTATTTAGGAGTACCCATGATGTACCAGATATCAGCCGCGCTCACTAGCTCAAATCATGGCATTCAGTCGGCAGATACTCTGTGCTCTCTCCTTTATGCATAATAACAATGTAATAGGCTGCAGCAGGCTCATGAGTACTAGTAGCCGTTTCCCTCTAGGTCCTTCATCGCGATATCAAGAGAGATAACATTTTCGTGACAGAGGATGGCCGTTCGGTGGTCCTGGGGGACTTCGGCTTAGCGAGAGGTCCTATCTGGGAATCATTCGTGGTGTATACAGAAACTGACTGGGACTTGCAAAAGTTGGAAGAATCTCAGTGTTAAGACGATTTCCTTATTCTCAGCCTCTCCATACCCCTTGGCTAGACTCTCCACTCCGTACCGTAGCGTTCCTGGTGACCGAATGGGGATGAGGTCGTCGACGTCTGGCAGCACTGCTGAGGTCATGACCACGCGCATCGTGACAGCACCGTATCGAGCACCGGAACTACTGTTGAACCACGATCACTATGATGGTCGGATAGATGTAATAAGAAATACCACAGTTGGCTGGGCGATGGATAATCGTTTGTGACTGTTGTTGCGAGGAGTGATGTACTACGTGACGAGTGGCTAGGTTGACTAGTACATTCATGCAAGACTGAAAGGATTGTATTGAGAGGAGTCGTGGGTGTTCTTTTATATGGTAGGTGTTCGCCACCGGCTGCGTGGTTGCTGAGCTCATCTTTGCTCCGGGTAGCAGCCGGTCTCATCTATTTAAACACGATGATACTAATAACAAGGATTTGGAATATCAATATGTATGCATCTCATAGGTGTTGTGCTCGTCATCACTGGCCTCTCTCTCAGACTAGGGACTGTCTGGCACAGCAGTTGGTGATGGACTGCCTTCTTAACGGGGATGATGATACCGATGAGGCCTTAGAGAGCCGCATAGATGCTATGAGTAGTCGTTGCAAAGCGTCTGTAGGCGGTAGCTCCTATGTTCATCAGGCGACTGGCTTGATTACGGTCCGAGGGCGAGGTATTTGAAGCAGTTCCAGGGTCTAACGGTATCGGAGGACCTTAGGAGAGCCGTTTTGATGGAGTCTTGTACTGTACAGAAGGTTCGGGAGAAGTTTGCAATAATACAGGTGGGAAAGTTGTATAGTTTTCCGACGAAGCGTAGTTTTCTTCTCAACAGGCTGAAAATCCAGGACCGTTGGTGATGCACGTGCTGAGATCCCTGCTGACTTTCGATCCTCGCCAGCGACCCCAGTCTCAAGAAATGCTACTCGAATTCGACGAAGTCTTCGACATGGGTTTTGAAGGTTATTGCGGAGAAGGCGAGTACAGCGGCCCTTCAGAAGACGATTTAGAACTGTAAGGTCTCCGGTTCAATTCCCGGACTCGTCATCTGGCCTCTCTATGCAGTGAAATTGAAACTGGCTTGCCCACCGAGTCTAGCCGTTACGTTTGCGCTAAAGAGATCTTGTGGAACCTGATGTTGGACAGTCGGAAGACTCTCAAGTCATCAGGAAAGATAGAGGCCCGTCGGGTCACAGGTAATACAGGCGGGATTAGCGCTATTGATATGATGCCGTCCCTTGCTATGTGTTCAGATATTTTTGAGCATGATCGATTCACGGCTGGTAGTGGGATAGGTCGTATACACCAACTGGCTGATGAATTAAGCCGCAAATACTTGAGTAATTCAACGGAATCACCGCGGTATCGTCATCAGCTTGCTCAGGTCGGCGAGTGGTACCGACTTCTGCTCATCCCGATTGAGCGAACGTTCCTTCATTACAGCTGAGTTACTATATTTTCTTTGCACTGGGGCTCTATGTTATATATAAGTTTTGATTGCTGCTGCCGTTTGTTTCCGGAAGACACCTAAGAGCTATTGTGGAATAATATGCAACCATTCGCCTACGTGGTAGCACTGGAGATCCACGGCTTGTCTTTAACTCTGTTACGAATTACAAACAACCTGATTGATTGTCCCCTGAGCTCCTCGATACTCTGGCTTAGCATCAGCGAATGCTCATGTGTGTTGTGTTAAACAGTGGGTTAGATGGACGTCGGTTACTTTAGTCTGTAACGATCAAAAATGTCTATGGTCGAGGAAGCAAGAGATCATGTGAAGAAAGCTCAGGAAGCGTAAAGGGCCAGTGCCTTCAAAGGACAGTATTTTGCACTGAGCCCCTGCTCAGGTTACATCCGTCAATTTGGCGACTACAGTTCTCTCCAGACTATTTAGTAGCCGCCCTGGAACTCTCTCAAGCGGCAGCGTGTTTCCAATCAGCTTCCTTGAACGACCAAGCAGCCAAAGCATGGCTGAAGGCAGCAGAACTTAGGAAGACTAACCTCCGAGAGTAGGCTCGTTGACTTGGTGCGCGCTGTCGATAGTTTTTTGATGAGACTCGTTCATCTGCGTTTCCATGCATCCATCTTAGTTTCCAAGGAGCTGCTCGTAACTTCGAGTCGGCTGGGCAGCTGATGCACAACCCTGAACATTACAAATCGGCTGCTGATTCTTACTTGGCAGCTGGGAAGGCCGACCAAGCTGCTCGTGCCTGGACTAGGGTGAAGTGGATTTTGTTGATTGCTGGCCTCATGGCTATATGCAGGTAGCGGGGATACTAGCGAAGACGGATCCTGAAGGGGCCACTGATGCGTATAGAAAAGTGGTGGACATCTATAGGGCCGACGGAGATGTCAAGCATGGAGGAAATGCCTATGCATTGGAAGCATTGCGGGTGTACGATATCGTGTGTAGAAGAAGCTGTGGCAATGTTTCTCGAGTAGATACCAGGACTGGTTATTGTCACGGCATGAACTCGAGAAGTGGCTGGAAGCATCGAAGGAGAGCAGTACACTCCTTGAAGCTGCAGGGCTCTACGCATCAACCCATAAGGAGCTGCTAGCTCGAGTGAGTCATTATCAGGTCGGGGAATGTAGTCGACAGCTACTCTCAGGTGGTCGTGCTACTCTCGATGGGTGACAGTGTAAGGGCGGACGAAGTCCTGGCATCTTGTCTTAACGTAACTGGCATGGTTTTGTGACATGAACAAGTTTCGACGTCTGGTCAGGTGAATGGATTTCTAGCCTCTGAGGAGATGGCTGCTGGTGAGGGTATGGTCATCGCCTACCGTAACAATGACGCTGAGGCTCTACAGGATGCTGTGAATAAAAACTGTGTCAAGTAAGACCACCAGTCTAAGTCCCTCACATCATCCTGCTCGCGATGGTAGGTTTTTGCCTATCGAGATAGTCAAGATAGCGAAGTCGTTGAAGGTCGCTGAGCTCCCATCCCCGTCTCCGTCACCTGGGGGGAACCCAGGTCCAGAGAACGATGCTACAGATGCCGCTGAACCTACTCCAGAGGGACTTGGTGCGTTATTACTCTAATTCTGATGTTATCGCGTTGTTGAGTTGTTGTCGAGCAGTGGAGTCTGACACGTTCATACGCCTAGAACACGACATATAGACTTCAAGCTGGCTGACACAACGATTCATGTGTGCTGAGGTTACCGAAATCAACGACCTTGAGACGAGTAGCCATGTCCTTCTTGCTTCCGTCATCCAATGTTCAT